GTGTGTGTGTGTGTGTGTGTGTGTGTGTGTGTGTGTGTGTGTGTGTGTGTGTGTGTGTGTGTGTGTGTGTGTGTGTGTGTGTCTGCAGGGCATGCTGACGGTGTCAAAAACATTTGTATCTTAGGCAGGCAAACAAACTTCTGATTCTCACTGATCAAGTGAAAATAAGGCCATGGCTTCCTCCCCTTCCTTCCTGTCTGCTCTTCTTGTCGCTATCACCTCTTCTAGTTTCCTTTTTTCTGAAAATGTCTTGGTTTTTTCTCCTTTTCCCAATGCACCTTACTCCCCTCCTCGTCTGTGTCTTTCCCTTTTTCGTTCTATGGTCAGCCTCCTCTCCTCTCCTTTCTTCTCCTCTCCTCTCCTCTCCTCTCCTTTAAAGGGGGGTAGTTTAACTATCTGTTAACACAAACATTAAAACACATTTGTCAGCACAATGAGGACAAGAGACACACACAAACTTCTAAGAAGCTCCAGTGAGTGAAGTTAACGCAATGAATAATTATGATGCACAATGCCAAACAGAGGTCACTTAATGCTAATGCAGAAGATGCAAGATCTAATTTTTTTTTTAAATGCTGTCCCTAAATAGAGATATTTGCTGGGTCTGCTAGATCATCAGGCATCTCGTAATTATTTATGAATTACTTGTAAAAATTCTATTGATATTTGGCACAAATCTGTGCTTCTTTTAGGTTGTTTGTTTTTGCAATACATTACATGGTCTCAGATTTGTATGACTGCTAGAGATCGTACGTGTGTAGCTTTTATCTCAAGAGGAGATTTTGCTGAATTTGATGTTCTGAATTTAATGAGAACATCCGCCAATTTGACATGAAAAGTCAATGTTGACATTTAAACCAGTGGTCAGCTGCAACTAAATGACATTGAATGCTGAAAAACTTTTGCACCCAGAAACATTCACCCATCATAAAGACTTTATATCTCTATATCGAGGGGAAAAAATGAATTATTCTGGTGTCCAGCAATGAACAGTAGATGTTACAAAACATATACGTGTTTCTGTAAACAGGGGTTAACACATTTTAAGTTTATATCCTTTCATGTGATTTAATATCGGTTTTAAAGACATTCATATTAAACACGACGCAACCCGACATGCTAATTTGTAATGAGCACTCTCAAAATAGACTTATTTAAATATATTCAAAAATCTGCTTGTTCCATGTCTCCACGGTTCACTCTCTTGTCTTCCCTTTAGCGATCAGCTGTGGCCATCCAGGAAGTCCCATATATGGTCGTACGGTGGGAAACGGCTTCAACCTCGACAACGTGGTCAGCTTTGTGTGTAACCGGGGTTATGAGATGGAGGGGCCCGCACACGCTCAGTGTCAGGCCAACCGACAGTGGAGCCACCCGCCCCCAACGTGTAAAGGTGGGGAGAAAAGTTAAGTGTATTCCCCCCTAACCTTATTTATCCCTAACCTTTTATTACCATCCAAACTCTTATGTTTATTTACCCTTTCTGCATTTCCCAAGTTGTCTCTCCCGTGTTTTACCACTGCTCGTTTCATTTCAGCTCATAGACTCTTCATCCTTTATTTAATTTATTGACGTTTTGAGCTAGATTTATTTCTCTACATCCCTCCTGGCTCCAGCCTCATGAATGGAAATGTCTTGATTGTGCTCACAAGTTCGTACACAAGCTATCAGCGCTCCACCAAGATTACAGAATGAAATGGCAATGAATCGTGTAAAATGTAAAATGCAACCCATTGAAAGCAAGCATTACCCTGCATGGGTGCTGGATCCAGAACACACAAACCTGCCAACATCATCAAGTCATTTGCCATATTTACCATTTTAAACACCATCCTTAATTAATCTCCTTTTTAAGCCCTTTATTATTTCACAGGCAGAAAAAAGGAAGAGAGGGAAGAGAATTGACTCTCCCATGTTTAAGCCAAATAACACATGCTTTTCTCTCTCTGTGTACGTGTGTGTGTGTGTGTCTCTGTGTCTCTCTGTGTATAGTGGTCAATTGCTCTGATCCAGGTATCCCAGCCAACTCCATCCGGCAGAGTAAAATAGAGCACGGGAACTTCACCTTTGGCACTGTGGTCTTCTATGACTGTAACCCGGGGTATTACCTGTTTGGATCATCTGTTCTGTCCTGTCAGCCTACTGGACAGTGGGACAAACCTCTGCCCGAATGTATAGGTTAGTTTGATCTGTGTCCTTTTGTCTTTTTGATTTCACAATGAAAAAAGATAGTGAATTGCCTTTGCTAAGCCTGACTGCCCTTAGTTACTGTTGCTGCACCTGTCACGTATTTAATTATACAAAAGGCACATAATGCAGTTTATAATAATAGCAGCGGCAGAGTAACCTCTCAAAACTCGTAGTTATTTTTGAACCTTGGTTTTTCAGACAGGGGTAAGACAGCAGACTTCTCATTGTTTGGCCATGGAAATAACACTCAGTTACCACCATGGACCGTGGAACGAATGTTAACCTTTAAACCTTTTTTAATTGGACACTTGGACCAGGCACCAGAATAAAATTACTCAAGGTTCTGCCAAAAATGTGGTGGGTTTAAAGTACAAGTCTTCTGAAAAAACACTGTTGGCTTTTATTAATAGAGGTGTTGATACTGTATATTTAAACAATGACATTTTGATCAATTATTACATTACATGTCACTTGTTAGATGCTTTTATCCAAAGCGACTTACATACTCCATACTGTGGACAATCCCCACAGGAGCAATTTGGGGTGAAGTGTCCCAGGGACACAACGACATGCTGACTGCAGTAGGGTTTGAACCTGTGACCCCCCTGATCCCAACACCAAGGCTCTATCCACTGCGCCATACGCCTAATTATCATTAGTGAACTGGATATGAATAAAGAATAAAAGGGCTAGAACAGTTAGTGAAGTTAAGAGAATGTAACTTTAATGCAATACAGACTTTAAAACAAGTAAAAGACACTTTTGCATTATTCTGATATCCAAAATCGAAATCAATAAAAGATCAGTATATTTCCCTCTCTTCTATGATCCCCCTATTTCTCTGCTATATCCTCCTCCTGGGGAAATTAACAGTACTGTAGCTGCACATGCTAAAGCTCACTTTAAACATATTGCTTGATTAAAGGAGTGCTGAAAATGATCTGCAGTGTGTCTGCCTGTTTCCTCACTACCCACAATCCTTCACATGTGTGTTAATGCAGCTCCTCTCACAAAGCTGTGCTTAGTTGAAACTAGCTGTCGGCCTCTCAATCCCTAACTCTCTCTCCCTCTCTTCTGATCTCTAGTTGTGGATTGTGGTCACCCCGGCTCTCCCCCTAACGGTGTGCTGAGTGGAGTTAAGTTTACATTTGGTTCAACGGTCCGATACTCGTGTCTTGGCGGGAGACAGCTGAAAGGAGAATCATCCAGGACTTGTCAGCTCAACGGAATGTGGAGTGCCCCCATGCCCTTCTGCTCTGGTAACCATTTTAACCTCTATTGAATATACCGACTTTGTAGCCCACCCTATCAGAAGGGGGAGATGGATGGATGGGAGATGTAGATGAAAGATGAGACGTCTAAAAACATGTAGACTCAACAGAGTGTGGAGCACGTCATGCAGGCCCAATTTCTTACCCCCTTGCACTCAGTGGAAGGGATAATGGGATGGATGGATGGACAGATAGAGGCTCGGCCTGGCGCATGAAAAGAGAACATATCATTCCCTGTCTGTTAAAAGGGTTGTGGAGCATAACCTCCCCCACACCCACATACTGTAAATCCACAGCCATGGACCCTTGGCCATGAGCATTTATTTTCTGGTTGTTCAATTTCAACTATTTGTAAACCGACTTTTCTTTCTTATGATGTCTCTCAGAAATGAATGTGTTTTCTCTCTTGAGGAGAACTGAAGGATGAGAATACAAATGAACATGGAGCGGTTCTTTAAATATTAACACGTTTAAATACTTCAGTGTTACCTGAGCATTTTCTTTAGCATAAGTTGTAGTTATTTAAGACAACTTTGTTTACCGTAGTGTAGCCTCCCCCTCCCCCCCCAACCCCCTGCTGGATTTACTGTATATGCATATATCATCACTTATTGAGCTATATTGTCTCTCCAGACAGCAAGCCTCCTTACCTTCCATCTTGTATAAACAAACCGTCTAACTTATATTGTTCTCAGAGGGATGGCTGGAGGCATGATTATGACTCTCCAGGCTGAGAGGCTTCCAGCTGCTGCTTATATAACAAACTCACTGGAAACTCATTCCAGACGAGTTGACTAAAAACTCATTGTTATTTACAGCTATTGCCTGGGGCATACGCAGGGTGAGCCAGGCTAATGGTGTACGTAGCAGTGATTCATGGCTTATACCTGGCTTGTTTGTACCCATGGTAGAAAAGCGACGTCAGCAATTCAGCTTGTTGACTGTTGATAAGCTAATGTTGTTTCTAATGTAATGATGTTTCTGACACCACATTTCAGGGGTAATAATACATGTATTTAAACTAGGAGGTAGAGTGGTTACTGCGTCTAGCCCTGGAGTCTCAAATTACATTCATGTTTACTTTATTGAGAATACATTATGTAATAGAGCCGATTGTGCATTTTCTAACATACGTGGATTTGGTATTCTACCTACACAAAAATGCTTTGAGACTTGATGTACTTGAGACTTGACTCCTTATTCAGGCACTGCATTCACCGCTTGAATATCTATTGATTAGGCCTATACATTAAACCGCATTGGTTCCATGTTTTTGGTTCTGTTGTTTAACTGATAAAAGATTGATACCACATTTTGATGCATATGGTCATACCAGCATGATCTTTCCAATAAACTAATCTTGATTTAGATGGAATACAGCTGGTAGATGAAATTACATGTTATAGCTAATGCTATTAGTGAGTTATGTGGTGGTCTGCTATCCTTTTGAAGTGAATTGGTTTTATAAAATGCTTCCATCTACTGATTATTCACAAACTTGATTCCCCAAACACACAAGTCGAAAACATCCTAGCTTACATTTTTTTACCCTAGTAAAATGTAATCAAAACAGACACACTACTAACATATGTATTCATTAGGTGTTGTTTGAACAGTCTATTTTAACTGTGGTTTTAACTCAACATTTTTCATATTTTGTATTATTGTTGTAATTAGTATGAAAAAAAACAGAGAAGACATGCATGCAGCTAGCCATTTCCCTGCTTTAAACCTTAATGCTAAGATCCCTTGCTGGCTGCTACATCATATTTAAAGGGCAATGGTAGAATTAGCCAAAATGTCAGCTATTCCTTAAATCTTTAGTTACAGCTAGTTAAACAAAAATGTGATTTGGAAACCATATTTTATAAGAAACGACATGATGTTCAAACGGTTTTATTAGCCCCCACCTTCCCTACTCTGCAGCCTCCAGTAAGTCTCTGGATCAGACGAGTAAGAAGGTTATAGCCTTGTAGCTTTTATCGTCGAGCTTAATGACAACTCCTGCAAACCTGGGAAAAGGAGCTTCAGCTCAGTAACCCGTGAATTTACCCGAGTCAGAGTAGAGCCAAATACTTTCTATCAGATAGACACGTGTGTGTGTGTGTGTGTGTGTGTGTGTGTGTGTGTGTGTGTGTGTGTGTGTGTGTGTGTGTGTGTGTGTGTGTGTGTGTGTGTGCAGATGCATGTCTGTGTGACCGATTAGTGGTTGTTCCAAAGTCACCTGAGGGAAACGACCGAGATTAGTTTTCACAATGCTCTGTCACACAGATACGTGCACGCCATAGACTTTGTATGACACGCACTTAGAAATACACACATGCAGCAGTGACATCAGGTAAATTGGTTGTTTTCCCCGTTGAGACCAGATACACCGGAGGCTGCATGGTGACTTTGGAGCTGTGTATGTGTGAGCTTCCATTGCAGTTGTATAGGAGGAAAAATCTCTAAAGATGCCATTTTGTTTGTGTTTGGGCTCCGTTTTAGATCCCGATATTCACATAGAAAACCTCCATCTAGCTGGAGACGATTTTCTCACATTTCTGAGCTTTTAAAGAATCCTGAGACAAAGCGGTAAAGGCTTATTTATTTTCACTTGAGAAAATCCTGAAGCATTGCTCAAGATGTTATGTCATTATGAGTTGTGTCTGAAGTATGTGTAAGCTCAATTTGGCAACAAGCCTCTAGATTTATGCAGTAAAGCACCAACCGAGCCAGTGTGAAATTAGGTTATTTGTCAAGAGTATGAGGGTAATCACAAAAACATTGCACATACATTTGGGGAATTCTTCGGCTGGTTGTTTATCACAACACCGACTTTGTTGCAAACCTTGAATTATGGTCAATAATGGATGAGGATGGTGTGAGGAAATTGAAAATCACTGTAAAAATGATAAAATATTCATTCTGCGTTCTCAGAGCTATCCAAAACTATCTAATTAGTCAGGCTTTGACGTTAATCATATGCACATATAAACCAATGCAGATGTTAGACTATTAACAAAATTGGAAATGGTGACTAGGAATGTTTGGCTTGTACATGCAGGTGACAATGTGTGTGTGAAAGTGTGTGGGTGTTCCCAGGAGCACGCTCTGTCTGTCAGGCAGAATTTGCTGACCAGGCGACTCGGCAAGGGCAGAGTGAGAATCACTCACACATACAGTGCGTCCCAACCAGCAGCACACACACACACATACACACACACACACACACATTCACACACACACACATTCACACACACACACATTCACACACATTCCCTCTTAAGGCAAACATATGCGTCTTGTCACCAACATATGTGTGTCGTCCATAAGAAATTGTACCCATGCTATACTCAAGTCTCCCGAGAATGTGATTCATATTCAAACAAAGCAAATATTCACCTCATTTTGTTGAGTTCACTTTACAATTTTGTTGATGAAAAACAATTATTGTTATTTTGCGTCTTTTTAATCTTTTGCGTTCTCTATTGGGATTTAAAATGTGATATGTCAAAAGTAATTTGAAGGTTTGAAATACATTCTTGGTTATGTAAAGTGTTGTAGTTTTGAAGTCGGAGACCTAACTCTGTCTTCTCGTTGCTCTCCCTGTAGGCGACACAACGGGTTCCTGCGGCGATCCCGGCATTCCCTCCCAGGGTTCCAGGGAACAAACGGATTTCAAGATCCGTTCCAAGGTTTATTTCAGCTGCACAGAGGGCTACGATCTGATTGGTTCTTCAGAACGGATGTGCTTCCCTAATGGGACGTGGTCTGGCACACAGCCCTTCTGTAAACGTAGGAAGATCATTTTACTTAATCTCAACACAAAACAACAGTCTGACACTGATCCAGTCTAAAGATCCACCCATGTACTGCACAGTCAGTTTATATGAGCATATTCACAGAGCTGGAACTCACTGAGATGCTCTTTTCTCTCTCATTCTTTCATTTCCCCCCCAGCTGTCCAGTGTGGTAACCCTGGCACTCCCAGTAATGGCCGGGTCTTTCGTTTGGATGGAACAACGTTTTCTCACTCGGTCATCTACTCCTGCGTGGAGGGCTACCTGCTCAGCGGCACCACCACCAGGCTGTGTCAGGCCAACGGGACCTGGTCAGGAGCGCAGCCCAACTGCACCAGTGAGTAACCTGATGGATGATTACAGTGGTGGAAAGCTTTCCCAAGGTTTCTTGAGTATATTCACTTCCGGCAACTTTATATTTTTACTTCACTACAATTTTAGGAAAATATGCAATTTATTACTCCACTACATTTACATGTATCTGGTTAAGATCATTACCAGATGAAAAATATCCATACTATTCATGCTAGGTAAAAACCCTATTTCTCAAAACGTGTTGATTATTACGTTTTTAAGTAGCACAATCTTACGCATTTGCAGCAGTAGTATGCAATATACACTTAATCAGCAGTTATATTTAAACAAAAACATTTTAGATATCTATAAATAATAGTAAAACATGATAGTAATTTGTTTACTAAGTAAGACTCCTAAGGCAGGACGTTTAATTGTAGTTCAATTGTATCACAGTGTGGGATTAGTACTTTGACTAGTGGATCTGAATACTTTCTCCACGACTTATAAATCAGTTTGAACATAGTTGAAATACCTGACACTCAGAGTAAATGGAGTTTTCAGCATTACATTTTTTAGCAAAACCTTTTTTTCTAAATAAACTCAAATTCAAAGTGATTTTAGGCTAAAGAGCAAACTGTCAGCTTTATGTATTACTTACTGTATATTATCAGGGTATTAAATCCTTCAAGTAATAAATAAACACCACCAAACTCCTGATGTGTGATTATAAGGTCTGCTCCCCAGCCTTTTGGGACCCTATTTCATGCACCGATTTAAATTATTCTGCGACAGGTTGGCTTCTGAGTAATGAAATCAGCCTCAAATGTTCATGCTCCTGCTACAGACTTTATAGAGTTACATGAATAACCTTGATTGTTGTTTACTTTAGCTAATTTGCTTTTTGAACTCTGTAAATAACCATAAAATAAAACGTTCAGCTGCCATAAGAAATGTGACCTGGCCATGGTTGAACAAGTGTTAATCAGTGCTGCATGTTACACAGACTACAAAATCTGAATGTACAGTTGCGTATAACAATAACGATTAACATGAATTTTAGTTGGTAACAAAATACCTCGTTAAACACAATTCTACATTGTGTCTAAAGGTAAACTTCACCGAGCTCTGGACCCAACATGAACAACAGTATTTAAATGTTGAAATACACAGCAGTAAGGATAAGAGAGATAAAAATGCTGAGAAACCACATCTCTTTACGATGGGTTCCTGGCAAGAAACTATGTTTTTTAAGAATCCCCTGACTTTAAGGATATAGCCTTTTACAGTACATTACAATAAATCTATTTACAGCCATGACATTATCTGGGGTGGGTAAAAGCATTTAAAGTGCCTATTAGACCGTGAAGGACGAAGCGTTATAAGTATAGTTTAGGGAATCCTAATGCTCCTTAAAACAGTCCCAGGACAACTGCAGCAATTTTACATATCTGTGTTGTTTCATTCACCAGAAGGAAAGCCTGTAACTGAATCTCAAAGCTCCTCTACAGTGTGATGTAACTGTAGAAACAGAACATTACACAAATAAGTAAACTAATTAAGTATAGTTAATAAAGATAAATATGCAGTTCTAATGAAGTCGTCCCTTGGATCACCGGCACTTTTTTAAGACCAGATTAAATATGTTTACAATTAAAGACTTAATCAAAAGCTAGGACATTCTGGTGTATTTATCAAAGGGTCCTTTATAGGCCTACACAGATTTTTAAAACAGTGATAAAACGATTGCAAACTACAAAAATCTGAACAAATGACTCCTTTCCCCTTTTGTAAGTCGACAGTATCCTTTTTCTGTTCACTTAATTACATCTCCTCAGCTTTCTTTTTTCTCCCTCTTTATCACTCCTTCTATTTCAATCACGCATGTAGGAGCTTTATGCAAAGTGAATACTAAATTGTATCGCCATAGCAAAAACTGTTAAGCAATCTACGTCTTCATCCAATTTCTTCCTCTCCTATCCCACTTGTCCGTCTCCCTAGTGATAAACTGCGGGGATCCTGGTGTGCCTGCCAGTGGTCTTCGCTATGGAGAGGACTTTACGATTGGTCAGAATATTTCCTTCCAGTGCCAACCAGGATACAGGATGGAGGAGGACGGGTCCCCTTTGAGGACATGCACCAACAATGGGACCTGGAGTGGGATTATGCCTATGTGTGCAGGTAAATTGTTAATAAAACCACTTGAAGCTTGGGTAGATCATTTATTTTAAAGGTCACCTATTATGCAAAATCCATGTCCTTTATACATAAACATGCGTCCCCTCTGTGGAAAGAGATTCTGAAAGTTTCATGAAAAAAGTTTTGCCCACTTTTTGTCCTGATCCATTTATATAAAAACCTGTCTGAAAATGAGCTGATCAGATTTTGGCCACTTTATGATGTCATAACGATTTTTTGGCTTGTGTAACCATTAGCCAATCACCAACCAAGGTAACCCCCCACCCACCTTATCACCTGAATCTCCTCCTAGAGCACCATTGTGGGTTTTTTAACCAAATACCTCTCAGAGGGGCGTCGGGAGTGGCTCCTTATTTTCATCTGAAGTAACAGACAGAGAATCAGCACTTTTGAAACAGGGCTGAAACAGAGGGCTTTATGGGATGCTGCAATGATCTGTTTGGTATTTCGAGGCCAAACACTTCAGAGACATGTTTTGTATATATCTGAGACCTATTATATATTGATGAAAAATAGTAAAATAGGGGACCTTTAAGTAGAGTCTTCAATTAATCATATGCTCATAAGCTTGCTTAGAGTGCTCCATCTGCCTATCAAGCTCTCATTGAGGTAGTTTGATCAAGTTAACAGTGGCACTCCTATACCCAACGCCCTCTAGTGGACTTCTCCTCCAACATTAGTCATGCAGTGTGCATTCATTTCATTTCATTTCAAACCTTTATTTAGACAGATTGGTCCCTTGAGATCATCGATCTCATTTACAAGGGAGATCTGCATCATTTAGTTCCACATGAAACATAAAAACAACAAACAAACAAACAACAGAGGATATCATATTTACATATTCAACATTTACAAATACCCAGAGTGTCAGAAAGCATTTCATTTAGACGTGCCTTAAATACATTCAGAGAAATAAAAATGCTCAATTTCAATTTTGCCTGTAGACTGTTCCAAGCAAGTGGAGCTGCGCACATAAAAGCTGACTTCCCTAAGACAGTCCTTACTCTTGGCACATCTAACAAGACTATATCCTGCGATCGCAGACAATAGCTGCTTGCAACTTTCTGCTTTATCAATGAACAGATATAATACGGGAGTTTGCCCAACATAGCTTTATAGATAAAAGTGTACCAGTGACTGAGCCTCCGTACAGTGAGTGATGGTAAACCTGCCTTGGTATACAGTGTACAGTGATGAGTAAGTGCTTCATGTGTTTTGAGTAACTGGCCTTCGATGTAGGTATGGGGAGGAGCCGAGATATTTTTTTTCAAAATGTAGCTTTTAATTGCTCATTCTCCAAAGATGCCTACCCCAGCTTTAACTCAGCTTAAGATATTTTTGGCAGTCTTAAATTGTTCATACATTTGTTCTTTAGAGTGTACTATACACAACCACCTTTATAATTGCTTTTTCCAGAGAATGTTTCTAGTATATAAAATGTCTCATGTTTACAGCTCGCACATGGTGTGTAATAACATGGTTGCTCCAAATCCAACTAAACACTTGTATTTAAAGACAAACACGGCAGATTCTGCTCTCCTCCCAGGAGGGGCCTCCTAAGAAAATCAAGATATCTAAACAAAGAGCCACGTGTAACCTCTTGTAATTGCCTTGATTACTTTAAACTGTGTCTGTTATTGAATTCAATTATAAACTAAATTCCAAATCAGTCGTTGAAATCAGTGATCCAATCAATGAGTCTCTCTCTGAAAAGCTATCCCTCAATTTCCACCACAGTCACTTTTCACCTGCAGCTGCTAAAAACTGGCACCTTTTTTTTGTTATTTTCTTTCCTAACACCTCCCTTTCTCTCCCCCTATCCCTCCCTCTCACGCAGCTGTGACCTGCCCGGCCCCCCCTACCATCAGTAACGGGGTACTGCAGGGCACTGACTTTGAGTGGGGGAGCAGTGTGAGCTACAGCTGCTCTCCAGGATACGAGCTCTCGTTCCCAGCCGTCCTGACCTGCGTGGCCAATGGCACCTGGAGCGGCATGCTACCACAGTGCTTACGTAAGAACACACACACACACACACACACACACACACACACACACACACACACACACACACACACACACACACACACACACACACACACACACACACACACACACACACACACACACACACACACACACACACACACACACACCTACAAATATGTCAGCACTCACACTGCCTGTCAGTATTCTTTCCCATTCATTAGTTACAGTTGGAAACCAAATCTACATTTGTCCTTGAGCTACATTGTGCTTATTTGCAAGGTGAGCACCACATAGTAAAATGGGATCGTGTGTGTGTGTGTGTGTGTGTGTGTGTGTGTGTGTGTGTGTGTGTGTGTGTGTGTGTGTGTGTGTGTGTGTGTGTGTGTGTGTGTGTGTGTACAGCTAAGTTTTGTGGGGACCCAGGTACCGCAGTCGGAGGCTTCAAAGAGGGACGAAGTTTCATCTATCAATCAGAAGTCTTGTTCAGTTGTTCTCCACCTCTCCTTCTGGTGGGAACGGCAACCAGACAATGTGAAAGTGACGGTTCCTGGAGCGGCACGCAGCCTCGCTGTATCGGTAATTTGTATTCAATTATATTCACTTGATGAGCAAACAAAACCGAGAATATACAATTCAGGGAGTCCTTCCTTTAAACTAGAGAATCTCATGCTCATAAGGTATTAGTTTGTATCATACTTATATCAACTTTCTTTCCCTACTTGGCCAAAATAAAAAAGTTTGAGTTTCCCCTCGTTTTTCACATTTTTCATTTTCAAACTCAACTGCAAGTACTGATGTTTAAAATGACTTTGGATCTTGTAACATGTGGCTACACTACCATAACTTTATAAAAATATATAATGGGCAACATATTTAATTTAAATGTCACTGATCAGAAAGGGGAATCATGAAAAACAGCATTACTCTGACCAGACATGAAATGCCATTTTTTGAAAACTTTTCAATATTTGGGGTTCGAGCTACAGAAAATACTGAGATTTGAAACCTAGACCCATAAGTCTTACCCAACCAAATTAAAATATGAAAGTCAAATCTTCAGCACTTTTTTTCTGAACACATTTATTAGTTAAGAAAATTCCCCTTAGGATGCAGTACCAAGGCTCTTAACCTCCACCAAAAAATTATTTAAGAAATTACTGATTACTTTTTAATAGTTCCTGACTATATCATCAATCATTCACCCTCACATAATCTGGAGCGCAGCCTGGTATCCTCAGGCCGGGGTGTCTGACCCACTTCAAAGTCTGGGTTAATATTAAAATGCAGAGGTAGTACATCTTAAAATGATATTTCTTAGAAGGAAGTAAAAAGTATCCTATCCAAACACAATATAACATACCGGTTTGATTGTCGTGCCATCGCTGTACATATTTTCTTTTGATTTCTGCGGTTTCGCTTGTTTTTAATGTGTTTACTTTCTTGAAGGAATAGATGTGTGGGTTTGTAACCTGTGAAATGATTTAGTTTATGTTGGTGTCAGTTGATCAGGACTGGTGTGTGGCTCAGCGGGGGGTCTGGACTGGTGACTGCTTAATGATCATGGCAATTAATGGTCGACGCCCACATTTCCATTTACTCCTGGGTTTGCTGTGCGTGGCAGCTGCTGTTCTGTCAAAGTTAAAGTTACACAGACTTGTCCGAATAATAATGAGTGGAGGACTCAGGGGAGGACAAGCCTTAAAGAGTTCCACTGATGTTAGTAAAGCTATCATTTCAAATGTGGCACCTTTACTTTTTTGCATTTTACAAACACTTATTCCTACTTTTAAACACAGTTCAAGTGAATATTACAAGTCTGTGTCATTAGCTTTAGCTCCTACTACCAACCACAACTCCATTACACCAACATGTTTATCCAACATCCTCAATGGCAAGGCTTCAACTTTCATTGTACACCAAGAGTCATCAGATATATTTTAGATGTCATATAACTACAACATACTTATTTAAAATCTAGGTTTTGCAGCTGATAATCACAAAGCCAATGTGTTTTAAGATGAATTCTAGAAACTTCCCTTTGACGTTAGTACAAAGTACTTAGACTATGAACCGAATTCCAGCATTTTAAAGAAAATGAATACAGTATAATGTTCAAAAATATTCAGTGAGTAATTTAGTATGGATCTTATATTGGAACCCTTTTTCAGAAATTAAAGAGACAGTCTTTGTTCGTGAGCGAGGAGGGTATCTGCTCTGTACCATGCAATATTTAGTGAAAAGGTGTCCGAACAAGGGCATCCACAGGTGACATAAAACAAGCTGCTGCTATCCAGGAATGATAAAAAATGGACATTCAGAACACATTACAAATAGTCCCACTGGGTCACTTCATCGCCACATGATGTTTAGAGCACCACTTCACATGTCTGACTCCGAGCAGGTGCTTAAACATCAAGTACGGTGATGAATTGTAATAAATGAGAGCTTTTGTAATGCGAACAGACACTCGACTCTTTGTTCCTTCATAGCGCTAGATGGGGCATGCTAACAGAACTCTACAGCTAGTATAAAGGTGAATGCTCCTTGTGAAATCGACTATCTAAAAATAGAAGGCTCCCTCTGAAGTGTTACTCCACTGATGTAAAGACTTAATCTATAGCGACTGCAGCAGAAGAAGTTACAGCATGCTCAGGGAAATCTTCCCGTTGTATACCACGACTTCTTCTCAAGACTGTGAAACAAACACGAGCATACACACAAACATCCCAGTGTTTTCTGCTGTGATGGAAGTGAATGTAATGTCCGCTGTTGGGCTTTGGGTGTGTGTGCTGGGGTGATTTATTAGTGTGTGATTGCAGCTGTATGTTAGTGTGTGATGTGAGAGAAACAGAATGAGTTTTGAGCCCAAGCAGCCTGCTCTTTAAATAAGGAAGAAGAAGGGGGGCAGCGGAGTGGAGGGGGGGAGAGAGAGATACAGTGACATGCAAAGATAAAAGATTGAGGAAGAGAGCAGTTAGAGAAAGAAGGGGAGAGAGAGGGAGGGAGAGAGGGCAGTTAGAGAGGTACAGGAAGAGAGGCGGGGGTAAGAGAGAGAGGAGTGGGGAGTGAATCTGTCATTTCGGAAGCTGTGTTGAATCGAGCTCTGAGTCAGGATGTGCTTTACATGCTGATGTTCATGCCCCACACACACTCTCTTTCTCTCACACACACACACACACTCTCAGAGCTGGCCCCTCTTCGTTTTCTGATAAAGCACTACTGCCCCCTGCTGCCCTGCCGGGGTACATACCCTACAGTTACCATGACAACAGAGAGGAGAGGGAAGTTGAGGGAGGGCATATAAAGCTTCTGCTAATTTGTCTTTCTTTTAGATTTTTTGTGTGTGTAATTACTTCCACGCCTGTTCCGTTCCTTTCAGAACCGACCAAAACCAGCTGTGATAACCCGGGGACGCCACGCTACGGATCCTTAAACCGGACCTTCGGTTTCAAGGTAACTTACCCCTTCTGACAGATAACTAACTCCAGCTACCTTCCCATACAAGTAGTTAACTTTTAAACTAATATAGAAGCTGACATCGTGCCTCCTAGGATAAGAAAATGGAGCTTAGCATCTATTGTATCGCCAAGAAAAAAGAGGAGAGAGGCAGACGGGAGACGAAACGGACATCTTTGGAAACTGTTGCTCAGACAAAACAAGACATTTAAAGATGTTAACTTGGATATGCAAATATGTCAAAGTTGATTAATGTGGAAGGTAGATTGCAGATGAATCAATTATGAAACTAATTGTTGGAATGGCCTTTTACAACCAGGCAAATGAAGCGATAGCTACCACGCTGCTACATAGAGGTGGCAAAATATCTCATGACAGGAGGGGGTAGAAGGTGGACACAAATGTGAGATGTTTTGATTACATGACTAACATTTTGAACTTGGAAGTCTATCAGGAAGGATGCCATATGATGCTGATATTTTCCTCCCTTCATTTTAAACGTTAATACTATACTTATATATGTTAAAAGAGTGATGGTTGCTGTAATTATTCTTCCTGTCCCTTACTGCGTTTAAGTCACTGTAAAAGATGGGGGAGGGATGATTCACTGTACAGTTCTGAACAGAAAAAAGGCTTTCTAAAGTTCAGCCAAGTTTTCCCCTTCACTGAGGCTCATCAAGGAGAGAAACAAGAAACAAGAAAGAAATGCCACCAAAATAACCAGAGCATCCTTGCTTCGGCTGAACTCTGAAATATAGGAATGGACTGAATGAGCACTTTATTTATCCCCATATGTATAACAGTATAATGATAATATAAATTTCATTACAGCAAATTACATTTCAACCTAATTACTAATGTGAATATAGTCATAAGATGGGTAATTTACAAATGTATCTATCCGGTGTAATGACTGGATTAAATGCAAACCTTTGTAGTATTCCATTATTTAAATTGTATCACTTTAGTCCTGTTTGTGTTGTCATCCCTCACCATCCCCTCTCCCTCTCTTTCCAGGTGGGGAACGTGGTGTCGTTCCAGTGCCAGCCGGGTCATTTGATTCAGGGCTCTTCCTCTAGAACCTGCCAGCCTGATCTGATGTGGACCGGTTTTCAACCTGAGTGCATACGTAGGAAACATTCATCCTATCATCCTGTCAACCTATCGCCCATCCATCCCCTGTCCGTCAGACTCTTAACTCCAGTTCACAAATCTCCTCTCCCCCCCTACAGCCCATGCCTGCAAACAGCCGGAGAGCCCGCTCCATGTGGACGTGGTGGGGATGGACCTGTCTGGTTTTGGCTACACCTTGGTGTACAGCTGTCAGCATGGCTACTTCCTGGCAGGAGGTTCTGAGCACAGAGTCTGCAAGAACGACGGCACCTGGACGGGAAAGATGCCTATATGTCGAGGTAAGGAATAGAAACCAATGCATGACTTCAATTGTATTACTTGCACTATTTTATCTGTTTTATTGTGTTGCACTGTTGGAGGAGCCTGGGACCTAAGATTTTCATCCACATAACTACACTGTCGCTATGTACGGATGACAATAAAAGCCTTGAATCTTGAGGTAGGGGCATTTAGTGCGTCTTGCTCAAGGACACTCTATCAGCATGCAAACTGGGGCAAACCGGCCATCTGGAGAAGGGTGAGATTAGCTCAAAGATAAAACAATATCCCATGGTGTTTCACTATTAGATTAGCCTTAATTACATTTATTAGGTAGAGCGATGGAAGACTGATTTTATTGTTAGGGTATTCCAATTCAAATTACCAAAATGTGTTGTCATGTATCTACACTTAAATTATTCGACGAAGTCCTAAAAAAAGCTAAAATACTCTAAAACCAAGTTGTATATCTTGTCTGTTGCCACTTTTCATGTTAATGGGATCAGTCTGACCGACATATACAGGCATGTGTTAGCAATAGCAGGCATTCTGCTATTGTTCTATTCTAGTCCTACAGTGCCTGATTGTAAGTGCCCAATGACCTTTTATGACCTCATACACTTGCATAGGGTTTCCACCATAAGGGAGAACTCAGACGACATCAATACTTGCCAAAACCATTTATCCATAATGTGTTTTTAGTAGCTGTTCTGAAGCTTTCAATCGTATCCCACAATCTCCAACAGCAGATGGAGTTTGCTGAGCTGTAATTTCAGACGTTGATATTTCCACTCTTCTGAGCACTTTAAGGACTTCTCGTCCCCATTAGCCTGAAAGTGGCTCTCTGACTCTGAAAACGGCTGTAGACAAAACAATCTCACCACAAGGCCCATTTAGTGTGCCTCCATTAACACTATTGGAGAAAAGGGACATTCCCTAAGATGTAAAAGTTATGTTAATATGTGTTTTTTTAGGCATTCGTAGAGCTTCTGTCTTTTTTTATCAAGGCATGCTAACAGAGGAAGTTGTGCAAGGGAACAATTCAAACTTCAGCTTTGAAATCTCTCACCAGGTCTGCCACCTTGTTGACCCGTGGTAGCCTTTAAAATTAGAGCTTTCTCTGATCCAATTTGAGATTCTAGGACAAATACTCTCTCCTGCTTGCCTTTACTTGTTGGCAACAATGGCTGCATGTTGAAGTGATGGCAGGTGCAGCCCTGAATAGTCAAAAGTGTCTTAAGGCCATTCTTAAAAGGATCCAATATTCACAACAGTTATTGGTCATGAACTGTATTTGCAGTGCCTATAAAGAACCATTAAAGAGGCTTATCTTGGAGGACCCTGACACTTGTCACTTATTACGAACATGTGTGAGTAATAGTAAGCAACGCTGCATTCTAATGTGGTGTTCTGAACGAGCAGTAAGTTATACAAGAGTCAGACATGCTTTGTCCCACCATTCTGCTCGTGTTTTATTTGGACATTGTCTTCAAGCCTCTGTCTCTCCTGTGTGTGCAGCTGGGGAGAAGAAGAAGCCTGTAAAACCAGCAACAGGAACTCCAAGCCCCAAACTAAACGGTCAGTTCTATCCCTTTATTTTACTTTCCACAATAGTACCCCCGTCATTCTTTGTCTATTCTTGACTTTTCTTATCCGTTTCTATTTTGGTCGGCTTTAGTTTGGTCTTGTCTTCTATACTTTAATAGATTCTGCTCTGCTCCTGTCCAACTTTGCTCTGCCCTGTTCTACACTGTTGTTCTTTTTGAGTTTTTGTCGATGTTATTGTACTTCAGGGCTTTCTTTCCATCATGGTTCTAAATAATGTATGTTTCCTCAACGCCCATAGAAAGAAGGATGAACTATGGTGATGATCTGCTTTTCTCTGTATCGCTGTTTTGTTCAGTGCTCTATATTTCAGATCTGCTCTGTTGTTATCTGTACTGTTCTGTTGTAATTGAATAACTATTTGATTTGTATTGTAACCTACAGCTGCTATATGCACTAGGGCTGTAATACCCAAACAGGGAAGCAACCTTTACATCTGATTCAGCTTAAGCCAGGCATTCATTATTGTTTATTCTTGCATGTACTATATATGGATATAGGGTTTTAGGCGACCTGAACTTTATATATTTACTAATCAAAAATCACTTAAGCAAATAATAGAAAAAGGGGAAATGTGGTCCTATGTATTTTTCTGCAACATGTTTACTTGATTGAACTAAATTGGATAACATCAAATACCTCAGCCCTCTGAGACTTAACTTATTTTGTTTAATGAATATACAGCTCAAGCATATAATCATCATTTAATCAATTATTTTCTTAAGTTTTGAGAATTTTAATTGTTATAAACAAAGTCAAACAATCAAATGTAAGCTTTAAAAAAGGCATGACCTATGTTTTCTCTTTCGTGTTCATACTGTTTTGTTTTTTTGAATCTACCCTGTTCTGTTATTTTCTAATCTGTTTGGTTATTAATCAGATAGTACAGGTCCTTGATTATCATTGGCTTAGGTGCATACAAAGCCATTGTAAAATACTCTGTAAACACATGCTGTACCTGTGCCGCATTACATAAGTGTTACTGTGCTGAACAAATTGTTTCAAATATCAGATTATGTTGTGAGTCATAGGTTTCTTGGTGGACTTGTAGTGGTAAAAAGAGATGGAGAGGATAAAGGAGGAGGTGAATAACAAAAGGAGACACACTGAATATTACTGAGGGAGAAATGAAAGGGCTGCAAAAGTAAATAAAAAAGCTAGAACTGTTAAACGTGATCTGTTAACGGTTTTGAAATCTGGAGAGAAACACCTGGCTATCGATTTCAATGAGCGCTAAAAAAGGAAAGTTGAACCCTATGGTTCAGCAGTTAGGGGTTAACAAGCGAGAAACGCTGCACAGATATCCTCACTTCTGGCACCTCACAATTAAAACCTGTACTAGCAAAGAGGAGAGCTAACATTAGGGAACACTGATCTAAAATGTGCTCAATTAATAGCAATAACCAGCTGAATCACCCCAGTCACGAGTGCTTTCCACTGTTCTGATAGATCGCTGAAGAACAACATGGCATGGCTGAAGAATCATCTAAGTTCTCCAAAAATATTAACATATCTCTTGCTGTGTATTTCTATCTACATATATTTAGCAACCATCTTGTGAAAGCAACACGCCCTGTGGTTTAATGTGTCCCGTTTGATACTCTTCTCTCCTATAGTTCCAGATGACGTCTTTGCTCCTAACTACATATGGAAAGGCTCCTATAATTACCGTGGGCGGAAGCAGCCGATGACTCTGAGCATCACCAGCTTCAACTCCACCACAGGGAGAGTCAACGTCTCCCTTAGCAACGGAAACATGGAACTGCTCCTATCAGGCATGTCTGCAAGTGGATAATTAATTATACTAATTAACTCCACACTGTTCATTCAGTACAGCACACGGGAGATGACATGACAGGACGCGTCATAGTCATAATGTATGTCCTGATAATGCTACAGTATATCATTATTTATCCTTTGGTGACAAACTAAATAATACACACGTAGCTTTCGGTTTAAATGCAGCTTCAACCATTTAAACATCATATAAGACTATTCATATCACTTATTCTGTGTCTGGCTTTCTCTTCTTTCCCAGAGCTACCAAGCTTCTTTTTAATTTTGTTTCTGTATTCCAACCAAAACTGACACGTGCACTTTTTCACACACAGACCTCCCAGGGTCCTACAACAGTGTCTGCAGGGGGTTAAGACCCTATTAAAAAACAAATCCTCTTGAAGCAAGAATTGCTTCTTGGAGTGAGCAGAGAGCACAAACACCACATCACAAAACCTTGCAGCTATTCCACTTTTAACATTCATCTTCTGGCCTGAAGGAGCAGATTTACTGTTGATCAATAACAGCTAAAGCTGCACTCACACAGGCACAAAAGGCCAGGACCCCCGTAGCATAAAATGTTAATGTTTCTCTTCTTAAAGGAATACTTCATCATTAAAATGAGCAGTTGTGTCTCAATAACTCCGCCTGTGTTACCTTCAATTCTATAAGAACGCTTTTTCCCCCCTATTGTGATGGAGAATCCAAAAATGGAGGACATTTTTGTTCGAGTGAAGTAAATAGGGGCCAGATTTAACAATAGCAAAACGATATCAAAACATCTGTTTACAAACTCTCACTCTACGTGTGCAGGATAAAAGTTGTGTTTCTCCAGTTGTGTGTTCACTACTTCCCAAGCTCAGGCGGACTATCCATCCAGACTCCTGAACCAGCATGAGACTGTAATGGTGGAAGTGTATTACATTTTGGGCCAAAAATGAATGTGTTTGTAAGCAGTGAACATACAACTGGATGAATAAGACTTACGTTATACTGCACAACTAGTGTGACATTTCATAAATGGATATTTTAATATAGTTAGCATATGGTAAACATGGCCTCCATTTATTTTAATTAAGCACTCTTTGTCAGAACATGCTGTCAACATTATGCTGTGTCCCAGATTTCATCATTATTATAAATTACAAAATTATAATTTTCAGCTTCATTTAGATTTAGATTTTACATAAAATATGTATCTTTTGTCAGATAAGATAAGATAGTACTTTATTGATCCCAATTTGGGAAATGTTTGTGTTGCAGCAGCATAAAAAGACATGGCATTGAACAATAAAAATTAAAAGAGAAGAAATAAACAAGAAAGTAGAAAATATACATGTTGAATTTACAAATTAACAATAACAAGATATAAAGCAAGGTATTATGTATACATAAGTATGTGACAGATGGAATATTAAATATTAATCTGAATATATCAATGTAAAATGTACAGTGTGATTTTATTCCAATTTATGTGAATAAGGGAAAGAATACACATAATCTATTCTTTCCCTTATTCACATAAATTGGAATAAAATCACACTGTACATTTTACATTGATATATTCAGATTAATATTTAATATTCCATCTGTNATTACTTTATTGATCCCAATTTGGGAAATGTTTATGCTGCTGCAACACAAACATTTCCCAAATTGGGATCAATAAAGTACTATCTTATCTTATCTGACAAAAG